TCTGACTGGATGATCTGGTGAACTGGAAAGTGACCTGAGATGACATGATGTGAATTGGAGCTATAGAAATAAACTGAATAGAATAGAACTGCTCCAAAGATTTAGTCGTAGTTTCATTGAAATTCACCAATAATATCACCAAACACTAAATAGAAAATAAGAATAACAGAGCAAGCTTATGTAACACATGCCGGTTCCATCACCTGAAACGGTCACACATGACCTCTGACCTCTCCTTGGAAAGGTCTGAGCCTCTAGTTTCCAATGATGGCGTCCATTAGAGGGTAAATATGAATACCTGCTGTTGCATTACTCCCACTGAGTCACACATGTCAGGTGGAATAATCTCATTTTATTTGTTTACACAGCTATAAAACCAAAAATACTTGAAAAAAAAAACAAACTGAAACATGTTTTAGAAATGTTAAAGCCCCGTTTAAAAGGCGTGTGGATGAAACACCATGTGACTGTGTTTTGGCCATTTCAGTAAAGAGATAAACATGAGCAGGTCAAGGGGATTAATGCGGAGGTAAATTTCTCCAATGTGAAATTAATAAAGTTAAATTATTATTAAGATTTGTACGTTGAAGTTGTGAGGAAAGCTTCCAAGCAGCACAGGAAGACGTGCTTTCCTATCAGCACTGAGCCGCCAGCGTACCAATAATTGCATCATCAGTAAGAAAACAATTATTTCCTAAATGATGTCAATGGTTTTACACCTTTTTAACAGCAAATCCAATAAAGGTGTATATGACAGCACAGTATTAGAACTGGGACCGAGTTTTAATTTGGCCGTATGTTTAGATTCCATTACACTCATTTCAATAATCATTTCTGGGTATTAAATAGGGCTTTTGTCTCGTAAACGAGGTTAAGATGAAATCTATAGTGAATTGGCACAATATAAATACACCAAATCCCTTCTGCATGAAACAGATGCTGCCGCCTGGCTGTTAAACACTGTTAATTTGGAGGGAATTTAACTAAGCAAGACAAATGTAAAAGCTGCCTGTAAAAACCTTCAGTGACACTTTATTTAACGTCCTTGGAAGGAGTGAGATAGAGCTCTCTCTGACTGAGGCATTTATACCTCGCACATTCCCCCCAGAGGAACAAACCCACCCCTTATACAAAGATCTTTCTCACACATTTGGTTATTCCCAAGAAAAAACACTTAAATTCATCAAGGACATCAATTTTAGCCAGATAAACAATCTGTTCCCCCCTGAACTCATTCTTATCTGACCCT